ATATATATATATTGGAAAGAGTTACATTAAAAAAACTTGAAATATTCTCTTTATCTGAAATTTTGAACAAAAATATTTGGAAGGTCATGAAATTTTTAGGGAATCTTTTTACAGAATGAATAGACACTCTGTGTGTGTGTGTGAGAGAGAGAGAGAAAGAAATACAACCTGTAGTAAACCGATGGGAAATTGAGGATGTACTTCAGTCGTCATCCAGAGTCTGAATATCTCGTGAACAGTTTCTGTTTCAACAAGAGCATCCATTACTTCTGTACAAAAGGGCAATGATAAATGGATATTTTGTAAAAGAACCCAGCCGCCAGTACTCATAGCTTCGTTAATCATTCTTCGAGCATGAAATTCTTGACCTTGCCCCATCGATACCGAATTTAATGCTAAAATGTTAAAAATATATTAGTAATAATAAAGATAATAATGCTAATGTTAAAGATATTGTTACTAAACATACTTATATATATTTTTATATTGATTTTAATTTTTTTTAACTGTTGAGAAAAAACAATTAATTAAATTGCACACTTACGAATTGTTTTTTGTTTAGCTAATGCTGTAATTTGAGGACTCGGGTCAGATCCTATAGATAATAAGCATATCAGCGGCGTTCTAGTTTCAGATTCTAACCACGTTGTTTCTAAGTCCAATATTTTAGCTTCGCCGTATTCTTTACCCAACGATTCAATGATATATCTTCTCGCTTGGGATAAAGTTCTGTCGGGACTCCATGATCTGATGAGAAGTAACTTTCGGAACACATCAAGACTTTTTTGATAGCCGCAAGGCAATTCTTCCTCCTCTGGCTTCTCTTTTTCGTACCATATTCTCCACTCTTTTTCGCTAAATTCAATTTTAGTTAAAATTTCTGAAAATATTTCTAGTCTGCTTATTTCGACCAAATTTAGCCACGTTATATCAAGTATCCATTTAAATGGTTTCGGAGTTACTGCATTAAGATCTAAGGATGCGCCGCCTTTTATAAAAGCGTTAAATTCTGCATGAGAAATAATGCCTCTGTGACAATCTATCTTCATGGCTAGCATCAGCGTAAACAAAGGTTTATGCCTTTCGTAAAGACTTCTCAGAGTAAACGCCCAAACTTCATACGTAAGATGACGGAGAATTATGTTTATTCGTTCGGAAGTAATCGGACTCTTCACAGATTTCGTGATTGAATTATCAAATATTGTCAAGAATTGTCTTAATGAATTTTGATACATCACATTAACATTGCTCATTTCAACTATCAAGAAATACAGGATGGATCCTCTTGACGCAACTGCACGAAATTCTTCGCGTGCCAACGTGATTTTTTTCTCAGTAAGAGCAGATACTTGCAGTTTTTCATTCACCGACTCGGCCGTAATCTTGGTTTCTCGAAGAACAGTTATTAACTCTTCATCGTCCACCAAAGAACCTTCCAAAGATGTAAGTCTGTGTAATAGCGTACCTTCAAGTTCTTTCATCGAACGTTGATTAGTCATAACTGATTCAAATAGAGCGACTCTTTCTGCTTCCAAATCGGCTTTTTCCATAAGTATCACTCGACCTAGTAATTGATCTTCTAAACCTAACATTGTCACGGTAAAGTCAATAATCGACGTTTTCGCGGATATTTCTGGACTGTACGCTGGATTTGGTAGCTTGGTAGTAATGTATAACATGAATCCTGGCATTACGTCGCATTCTTTATCTCCAACAATGACTTTTTCGATAGATCCTGATTTAATAAAGTTTTTTTCGAGTACGTTATCGAGTACTGGATCGAGTTCCTCTGCAACGTCCTCGATTAGCAATGGTCTACCCAATGAAAGGCTATCCTCGAGATGAGTACGAAAGTATTTATGATTTAGCGAAGTAATCTGCAATTCGTTTGTGCTCTCCTTATTCTTGATCCACATCTTTCCTTGATTCTGAGGATCCACAAGAAGCGGATAAGACGAAGATTTGGTGACGATAAGCGCATTCTGTACAGATAACTCATCGTTCGGCAATCCCTGAAGGGTCCATTCCGATATTGTTGCGGTATCGACGAGCATATTTGTTATATTTAAATTTTTAGTAAAAGGTATAGATTTAGTGGTCAATATATCCATCCACGCAGTTACTAAACTTGCTCGATACTGTTGATTGTAAGGCCCGCAGTACGATAAAAATCCAGTTGCCAAAAGAACATCTCCGACTAATCGTCCTAGTTGAATCTTAAATTCTCCGCTTTGTTCCGTCCAACGAATCTTCTCTCCACCTAATCCATTTATTAAAGCAGTCGCAGCTGTCATTTTTCTCAGGCACACATTTGCAGCCTCTGTCAATCTTTGCTTTTCCGCTACTGCGGAATCGTATTGCTGCTTAACTGTTTGTAAAGCCATTTCTCTTTCGGATAATTCTCGTTCAGCATTCGCCAGATCCTCCATAGCGAGTTTTAATCGTGCTTCTTGCAATGCTAAATTAGCTTTTAACGGGAGAACTTCCTTGTTGACAGAGTGGAAGAATGCCATAGCCTTGGTCCATGACAATAAACCAGCAACGTCACCGCATACACGTCTAGCTGTTTCCATATTATAATCTTCCATTTTGAAGTAGGGTTGCAATAGCTCGACCATTTCGTTATTGATTATGTCTTTCGGATAATTTTGCAATTGTAACAAAAACGTCGTACTGGCCATAAGTTTCAACGATTCTGCCCACGATGGTTTAGGACATGGTGCAGCGGTGTCGGGCACAACGGAACCGATTTTACGTTGAAACAAAATTAATACGCAATCCATGATTCTCATTATGAGATGAGGTGGTCTGCCTAGCTTTCTTACCGTTGCTATGTGAGCAGGTTTTATAGTATTCAGAGCAGCCTCTGCTTCTTCTAACGCTGGTTTTGCAGCTTCTAATTTTTGTTCGGCCAGCGCTTTTTCATCAGCTATACAGGCTACCAATTGCTCCGCTTTTTCCTTTACTTTTTGCACTTGATTTTTAAAAGCTTCAGCCTGCATGGCTCTCTCCGTTACTTCTAAAAGTACCGTCTCGGCTTTCTCGGAAGCCTGGACCAATTCTTGTTCCATTACGGCTAAATCTCTCTTCAGGATTTCAACAGATATCGACGCTTCCTCGAGTTTTGCTAAACCTGTGTCCATTCTTTTGGCTCCTTCACCAAGCTCATGTTGCTTGGACCGATAAATGTTTTTGTATCCACCAATAAAATTTAAATAAGATTTCGGAGTCACGTGAGTAGCGCGTCGAAATCTTTGGAAATATTCGATCGAAATTTTCGAAACAATATCTTGTATAGATCCCAATGCATTCACTAGTTCAGTCTTCACATCGTTAGTGCAAGCAATTTCAAAATCATGAAGAAAATGTTTGGCAACCAAAATTAAAGCATCCTTTGGCCAAGGTTGAAACCAATCTATAGTGCAGCCTGAAATCAGAGCCGGAAAACGCTGTGCGCGATTCCGGAATTTTTCACCCACAGGAGAGAAGCAAAAAACAACATGTAAATTTTGGCAAGTTCTTTGTAAAAAGAAGTCCATCACCAATTCATTATTGAGAGTTCTTTTAGGATTTTCTCGTCTCAAGATAGGTGTTAATTCTGAAATGATTTCCGCTTGCTCGTCACGCGTGAATAAATTGCTGATAACTCCAGAGCTCAGAATATTATTCAAATATTCAAGGAAGCCTTCCTCCTTGATGTCGATATCGGTGAAGATAAATGTTGTACCTTTGCCTTGAGCACCGCAAGTGCGATACAGAAATCTGAGATCTTCTAAAAAGTTGGCTACATTATAAGATCTAGTCAAGGTAATTTGAAATGTCTTGTATCCGGCAATAAAAGAGGATAGTTTTGTCAGACTTTGTTTGCCAGAACCGCCGACGCCTACTAGCATTACATTGCCTTTCGGATGCCTAATGACTCTAGATATTTTTACTAAGTGCAGCATGGCGTCAGGGAAAAATACTAGATCCATCCCAGCACCTCTCTGCATTTCATTGAACTGTGCTAGAAACATGTCTAATCTGTCTCGTAACACTTGCGCGTCATAAACAGGTTCGTATACCTTAGGAAGCTCTACATCTGCGTCCTCACCTTCTTCACCAGTCGGTTCTGGAGCGTCTCTATAATTAAACAAATTTTGTTAACATTTTTAATGTCACAATAAATTGATGTGTTTTACAGATTATCACTACTATTACTATTACGAACCTCATAAAATCGACAAATGCAGGCTCTTGATCCAACATGTTTACGTATTTTTCGCCTAAAATATCGGCCACGACGCGAATCAATTCTTCGTCAAACCAATCTTTATCATTTTGTATCGTAAATCTGTCACTGAACACTCGTGTACATTCGTGCTTCCAAAGCAGCATCAGCACGCTTTCCTTATCAATAACCGTTGACAATGTACCGACCATACCCTGCCAGATTCTCGAGAGATCTCGGAGACTAAAGACATAATGAAACTTCGCTGGTGTTGGTAACAGTTTCGTCCGTGTTTTTTCCCAAAGTATTCTAGTTAAGGGAATCATTTTCTTAACGAGCTGACGGACTTCTTGAGAAAATCCTCTTTTGACATTGTAATGTCCTTCGCCTAAAACACTAAAAATTCGATCGATCGCCACATTGTCGGGTAATGTACAATTAAAAATACAAAACTGTCTCTTGAGTCTCGAGGGAATATCGTTTCTTCCGCCGCCGGGCTGACACATGGCTGCTAAGAAAATTACATCTACGATGGCAATGAAGTCGCCGGGTTTTTCCAGAGAATAAAATCCTTTCATGTCCATAGTCTGTCGAACGATTTCATTAGTTATTTGATCGCCCCATTCATTGATTTGCGGTAAATTCACATCATCGATAAAAATCAACATCTTTTTGCCGCCTGATGGCCCAAATGTATTTCCCATACGTTTTTCGACATAGCTTTCGATGGTTTTCTGGAATTGGTATGGACTGGTCGCTGAACTAAAATTGAAGGAGCGACTCAAAGTTGTGTCTGGATTTGTTTTCTTCATGTACGACTTCATCATAACAGTTTTAGCGGAGCCCTGCTCGCCTATTAGCAATACAGCTTTATCCTGACGACCAATCAAATTCACGAGATATTGAATTCTTACATTATCCGGTATAGGCACCAAAACATTACTGTAATCAGGCGCTGAATATTCAGGATAGACATAATTGGTCACCATGCTTGTCCACGTGTCCCACACGCCTTTATCAGTGACGAAAAAATCGAATACTGTGGCATCCGGATATCTATCGGAAGTCGGAAGATCCAAGGTATTGAAGTTTTCTCGAAGATATCTGTCGTACTTTTGTCTGTCGACAGTTTCCAGCAATGCTCCTATACCCCACACTAATGCGAATACATAAAGACGTTTTAGATATTCCGCAGTTACAGGTTGAGGTTTGTCTTTCTCTAAATCTTCATCTTCGGCTTCTTCTACTGTTGTTTCTTCAGGTATTAAACCTTCCAGCAAGCAAAGCATTTGTCTTATTATATTACATTGCAAGACATTGATGGCAAGTACTAGCGTTTGAGTGCTCCACGAATAAACCTAGAATAAAAATTTATTTATAGTTTTTATATTATACAGATAATTGTTTTACTTATAAAATTTTATACTAAATTAATTATTTGACATCTACACTTTATCATGATCAATTATATGTACATATGTTACTAAAATATTATAAATAATATTATATATATATATATATATATTTATTTTGTGACAAGTAAAACGATTCTCTTACGTAATTACTAATTACTGTACGTTAAGAGGAACTTTTACCGACATTTGATTTCGTCGCAAAATTGCTTCAAACTCGTTGCTCGATGGACAATTTTAAATTCTACCTTGAAATCGAGTTAAAATTTTTATTCAGTCCTTCGCTTACAGCATACGAAATTGTGTGTGTTGCAAGAATAATTTCCTCCGGGAAAACCCGTCCCAACATGAGAGGGTTCGAGGGTTCGATAGCGTTTCATGTATGTAGAACGAAATAGGAGATAGAAGAAGCGGATCTATTTGCAAGTCTCATTGAAAATAATACTGTTAGGGCAAAATAATCAATTCGCAAGAAGAGGATACCTAAATAAACATTTGAGAATGTCTTATGCTGATGAAGTTTCATTCGAACAAAAGATACAACTTCTTGAGGAAAACTTACAATTGTAATTCTTTGCTTGGTTAGTCGAAATTCTCGCAAAATATCGCGGATACAAATAGATGCGAGAATTTGGGATAATTTCGAGAAATTACGGGAATGTTATTTTAAGAACGTTGATATGTGTGGCGTCTAATTTTTGTTTCTTGCGGTTGCTTGATATTTCAATTTGGAAATCGCTAAATTCAATTACACTTGCTATCGAACTGCGATTTTAATCGCATGAATTTTCGTTTCGCTTCTCGTTCAACGCATATACAACGTACATATTTTATGTAGAAGGTAAAATACGTTTGCTTGCAAATATCGATAGCTCCGGGGAAGATCGATTATAATGAATCCACCCCATCGCAAATGCTTCGAGACGCAACATATACAATCCGCTCTCTTTCCATATGGAAGATTCTACCAGGATTTATAGCGGAAATTTTTCATCTATAAATCTGATCTGCATTCTAACTGTTTGATTGTGGTAAAATTTGGTTCGCGTTATTATATTCTTAAGAGGTGTGGCTCACAAGAATAACCTTAAAACAATCACGGTTAACTCGACGCTGATTAATGACCTTTATCGCTCGCGTTCGCGCTCATAAAAGATCTTCTGCCTTTAAGTAATACTCACCAAATAAATCATGATAACGCGCACTTGAGAATTGGGGTCATGTTCAAATAACGTTTTTAACCCAGAATAATTTCAAGATATAAATTTTGAACATGGTAAATTATGAAAAATTTAGAATTAAAAAAAAAAGTTTCCTTTTTTAAGTTTATTCCTATAG